TCCCCTCCCCATATTTTATTCACCCCTGATAGGGAAAAAATAAATGATCTGAGGATGTCCTCTGCTCAGCTGCAGCCAAAGGAGCCAAAGGTGGAAGAATGAAACCCACCTCCTTCTGCCTTCTTTTCAACAACAGAGTCCTTCGAGGCAGCAATTTTTAAAAGGCAGTTCGCAATAATAATAAAAATGCCATTAATAGCAATGAAAGGCCTGGGTCTCTGCATACACCCCCTCCCCAAATGTTAACATTTCCCTGGCTCTCTTTCCTCAGCGGCAGGTGCGTAAATGGGGGTGAAATGGGAACTCCCCCCCTTCTTCTGCGTCTGTAAACCAAAGCTTGGTCTCTGCTCTCCTACAATGGAGTACTGGGGGTCTGATGGGATGGGAGGGGGGATGATTGAATTAGCGGGGAGGGCCAGGGACTGCTTAGTGCCAAGATTGAAAGGCAGATATTTGCCTTTAAAAGGAATTAAGGAAAACATTAACCACTTAATGACCAGAGGGGAAAGAGCTGCTTCTTCCTCCATCGCCCACCCTCCTGCTTTCCTCTCTCCCCCCCCCCTCTCCAAACATCCAGACACTCGGGCTGTCCATTTCTAATTTCGAAGATGTATTTGTGCATTTGCAATGTCAAAGTTCGTCCCCCCCCCCCCCGCACAACACCGCCAACCCCACTCCATGGCCAGAGGGGCCTGGTTCAGACATTACAGAGGAGGGGTTGTATAAAGGCAACTATTTCTCTGTGCCAAATATGTAAAGGGACTTTTAAGGAGAACGGCTGGGGGGGGGCGCTGCCCATTCTTGGTTTCTTTTGGGTTATCATAAGATACACTTGAAATTATATATTATTGGGGAGATTTCTGCCACAAACACACATCACCATAGAAAATAGAACTTGCAATGGTGTCTGCGAAGGAAGGAAGGAAGGAAGGAAGGAAGGAAGGAAGGAAGGAAGGAAGGAAGGGAGGGAGGGAGGGAGGGAGGGAGGAAGGAAGGAAGGAAGGAAGGAAGGAAGGAAGGAAGGAAGGAAGGAAGGAAGGTGGGGTCAGAGGGTGTGTTAAAAAGAGATAGCTCCCCCCCCCCTCCAGGCTTCCCTGGGTCTCTGTTCTGACATCACCAACACTCTTTTTCTCTTCGAAAGGTCTTTGCCAAGCTAGGCCTGTCTTGTTCAGACAGTCCTATCTGAAGAAGTGTGCATGCATGCGAAAGCTCATACCAATAACAAACTTAGTTGGTCTCTAAGGTGCTACTAGGGACGCGGGTGGCACTGTGGGTTAAACCACAGAACCTAGGACTTGCCAATCAGGTCGGCGGTTCGAATCCCCGCAACGGGGTGAGCTCCCGTTGCTCGGTCCCTGCTCCTGCCAACCTAGCATTTCGAAAGTATGTCAAAGTGCAAGTAGATAAATAGGTACCGCTCCGGCGTGAAGGTAAATGGCGTTTCCGTGCGCTGCTCTGGTTCACCAGAAGCGGCTTAGTCATGCTGGCCACATGACCCGGAAGATGTACGCCGGCTCCCTCGGCCAATAAAGTGAGATGAGCGCCGCAACCCCAGAGTCGGCCACGACTGGACCTAATGGTCAGGGGTCCCTTTACCTTTTTAAAGTGCTACTGGAAGGATTTTTTTGTGTGTGTGTTTAGTCCTCAAGACAGCTACTGCTACAAGTGTGTTTCCAAACTACTTAGGCCAATATAGATCTATTTGTCAAAATAACTGGTCTTCTATATGATTTTGGCAGCTCAAAGATCAATTGCCACTCAGTTGAAAACAGCCCAAAATCTTACACTGGTACCATTCCCTCTAGAATATAGTGATAATGGATAAAATTATACATAACTTGAGATTTGAACTAGAAGCTCATTATATATAATTTGGGATTCCTTTATGCAAGCCATTGATAGTCCTCCATGAATGTGCCTAACCCTCTTTTAAAGCTGCCTAGCCATCACTGTCTCATGTGGGAGGGAGTTCCACAGTTTAACTGTGCACCGCATGAAGAAACAGAGGCATTGAGGGGCGATTGCAGAGGGATGTGGTCTCCAGAGCCAGAGAGAGAGAGGGGGGGGGTAGTTCTCATCGCCTGCTGATGCCTTGAAGGTCTGGGATGCTGGCTGTGTTGAGCCTTCTCAACTTGGCTTAGGCTCAGGAGGCAGTGCTGGATTTACGTACAGTGGTACCTCGCAAGACGAATGCCTTGGAAGACGAAAAGCCCGCAAGACGAAAGAGTTTTTCATTTTTTGAGTTGCTTCGCAAGACGATTTTCCCTATGGGCTTGCTTCGCAAGACGAAAACGTCTTGCGAGTTTGTTTCCTTTTTTCTTAAAACCGCTTGAAGAGGTGCAGTTGCGACTGACCGTGCTTCGCAAGACGAAAAACCACGCAAGACGAAAAGACTCACAGAACGAATTAATTTCGTCTTGCGAGGCACCACTGTATAAGCTAAACATGCTATAGCTTAGGGCCCCACTCTCTTGGCCCCCCCCCCCAAAAAAATTCACTATTAATATACTTCTTCTTAATTGTATTTCAGTTCAACAATTGCTTTGATAAAATACATATTATGTTATATGGCTTTAGATACCTGTTAGGTCCATAAATTACCATCTAGCATATATATTAAACACAAAAAGCAGCGACCATTTGTTGTTGACAAAGGACAGCTGGACATATAAAGGGCCCCATTACCTTCAGTAGCTTAGGGCCTCGACAAACCTAAATCCGACCCTGCCAGGAAGGTAGGAAGTTGCCTCATCCCAGATCAGACTCTTGATTCAGCAAGTGCAGGACTCTCTGCTTTGACTGGCAGGTGGCCATCTGTCATGGATGCTTTAGATGAGATTCCTACATTGCAGGGGGGTTGGACTAGATGACCGTTGGGGTCCCTCTCAATTCTATGATTCAGGGCCCTAGCATGGTGACAGAGCGCCTGCTTTGCATGCAGAAAAATCCCCAGTTCAACGGCATCTCCAGGTCAATTTGCCTGAAAAAAATGGAGAGTGGCTGCCAGTCAGTGCAGAAACTATTGAACTAGATGGAGAAAGACTCAGAGCATAAGAGGCAGTCTCCGCCACCCTGTGCTCCTAGGTGTCAAGAGTAGGGAAGCTCCTTCCCCATTATCTCCTCCGGATCCCCTTAGCTAGAGGTGTCAAGGCCACTCTCGCAAGCTTCACCCCGGCTGGAGTCAGCCCAAGAGGAGCCCTAGCTGGAGGGCAGGATGCGCCAAGGAATCTGCCTCGACCTCCCAACAGGACGCTGCTGCACAGAAGGGAAGGGAAGCGTGGCCTAGTGGTTAGAGCGTCGGACTAGGACCCGGGAGAGCAGGGTTCAAATCCACCCCTCCAATGGGTGACCTTGGGGGCCAGTTCCTGCATCTTGGCCTCCCCTACCTCGCAGGGTTGCTGTGGAGTTTAAACGAGGAGGGGGGAGAACCACGCACGTCACCTTGAGAGAAGCAGGTGGGCTGGATGCAAGAAATAAATGAATAAGCGAGCGAGCGATGCGCCCGCGGAGTCTGGCAGGCGTCTTAGCCTGAGAATCACAAACTGAGAAAAACAAAAAGCCCTGGATGTTGGGTGCCAGGCTTGGGGCTCCCCTTCTGCCCTGCTTCCCCCACCCCATCCCCAACACACGGGACCCCCACCCCCGCGGCTGCTGCGGTTCATCCTACAACCTTCGGCAGGTCTACTCGGAAGTAAGCCACATCCTGCTGAACCACCCCAGGCGCTCCTTCCCGCGAGCCGACAGAAGCAAGCATCTCGCCATTGTGAATATATAAATCATAGAATAATGAAAATTACCCTCCCCTTTTGACCATGCAGAGATTACCATTCAGAGGAGGGGACAGTAAAAAAAAACACAAGTTTTTAAATCGCTTATAATTTTTTTTGTGCCCAGCCAGGTACGCGTGAACCATATTAGCCTGAGAATCGGTTTTCACCGCCCAACTGGCCAAAGGAGCGCCTTTTCGTGGCGCGCGCCCAGCTACACTTTTACGCTCCCCCAGTTTCCCCCGTTTTCTTCGCAACTTGGGCAAGTGTTGCACTGCCGGGGGTTGGGCTAGATGTCCCCTGGGGTTCCTTCCAGCTCTAGGATGCAAAATCCTTTCTTAGTCAACGCTGAGAAAACAAAAGGAGCGCGGGAGAGAGGAGGACGAGCGCAGTATTTCGTTGCTGGACAGGTTTCAGCACGGGCTCTGCGCTCAGCCCTCCGCGCAAAACAGCCCTGCAAGGCAAGCCAGGATGTTTCCCTCGCACCAGCGAAGGAGAGGGGGGCAGCCAAGGTGGATGTGTGGGTCCTTTATCATCTCCCCTTTGGACCAGAGGAGGTTGGGGGCGGGGCCAGCACGTCGGAGGCAGAGATGTTTCTGAATTCCAGTTTCTGGAATCCTCAGGTGGGGAGAGCGTTGCTCTTGGGCTCGGATCCTGCCCGCTGGCTTCCCTTAACGGGCATCTGGCTGAGCACATTGAGGGTGCTGGAATCGGTGCACCATAGACACAGGAGCCAACGCCTAGGGGCCGAGGCCCCTTCAGACCGTCCCATAAAATATTTGAGGGGGCCGCTCGCCCCACGTTGATGGGCATCGCCATGCAAACATTGTGCATTGTGCCAAGTCTTGTGACTGATTATGCGGGGTAGGGCTTACTCCATCCCCCAAGAGCAGTGCTCCTGTCACCAATTTCCTCTTTTCAGGGTATGACCCGCTGCTTGCCCCCCCCCCATGAGAGCAGGACGCTGGATAGATGGGCCTGATCCAGCGGGCTCTCCTGGTGCCCTTAACGTTTTTAAACACGGGAAACTTGGCCGCTTGTGTGGCGAAACTTCTCCGGCAGGGGAAGCGAACGGACTCATCCTGCAGCCTCTCCTGCTGCTCTGAGGATGCCACCCGAAAGGGTTAAGGGCTGGCTGAGGGAGGGAGGGAGGGGGTGGGTGGGCGGGGCGGGGCGGCGGGCAGCCCCCCCTCCCTGGCCGCCCCTCCCTCCCCCCAATCGACTCCCGGCGAGATTGTCATGCAAAGGACCCGCCGCCTCGTCCCTTGTTTCCCCGTGCGCCGCCAACTATATCACCCGTCCGCCCCGTCGGTGCGCCTCCAGAGCGCAACGAGGCACCTGCAGCCGCCGCTGCCGCCGTCCAAGCCGAGGGGGCCCCCTCTTTCTCCCTCTCCCTCTCTCTTTCTCTCACCCCGGGCCTGCCGGCCACCTTGCAGATCTCCAGATCCCGGGCCCGGCTCCCCATGTACAAGATGGATTACTCCTACCTGAACTCGTACGACTCTTGCATGGCGGCCATGGAGGCGTCGGCGTACGCGGACTTCAACTCCTGCAGCCAAGCCAACACCTTCCAGTACAACCCAATCCGCAGCAGCTTCGCCGCCAGCCCGGCCTGCCCGCCGCTCAGCACCGCCAACTGCACCCTGGGCGCCCTCCGAGACCACCAGCCCTCGCCCTACGCCACAGGTAAGGGCGCCGCCGACGGACGGTTGGGATGGATGACCCCCCTGGGTACCACTCGCGGCGCCAGGGCTCCAGGAGACGAGGGCTCCGTTGCCGAGGCGCGCAGGAGGAGGGCACCCCCGGCCTGAGACGGGCACCGGGCTGGTTTGCCCCGCGGACCGGAGGCGCGGCTTCGGCCGGCCCGCGGGAGGCTCAGGCCGGCCCGCCTGGAAGCCGCTCCGGAGGGGGGGGGTCCGCTGGTTCCAGGGGCCAGGAGCGAGGGACTCCTCCTTCGGAATATTGGGGAGGCAGAGACACCCCCCAAAAGAAGCCCAGAGTCTCTGGCTGGTTCTCACCCCGTCTCTCTCTCTCTCCCTGGTTCCAATTTTTGTCTTGCAACCCGGCCGACCCTCGCCGCTTTATTTCCTTTTCCCCCTTCGCAGAGGGTGGGGGGAGCTCGCAACCCACCAGGTATAAACCAATTTTGCAAAATGCAGTTATAAAGATATAACATTTGTGCCTAATCGAGTTAAAGGGCTCCGTCGCCCCTCTGTTCACAGCCAAAACAAATTAATGCGTAATCGGGTTAGAGCAAATGGAAGGATTAGATCAAGGAATCTAATTCGATATTTTGCAGAAATTGCTCCCAGAAAAATATATATACTATTTTTTTATGGAATTTATTAATCTGGAGGAAGGAAGCGTCCGTCGCTGGCGGTTTTTTAGGCTGGCGGGGAGAGGTTCATCTAGTTTACAAAAAAGGGCGCGATCCGGTTCGGGCTGAAAGCGGCGAGGACCTGGTTTCTTCGCTGAGCATCGTCGAGCACGCGGGCAGCCGAAGGGGGGTTAAAAAAAAAAGGGGAAATCTATGTTATGCCTTGTAGCGATCCGATCGCAATAATTTCCAAAGCAAAATTTGTAACTAACTAAAACTGTACTGGAAATTGACGGGAGAAAGGGTTTGGGTTTACAAAGTATCTGGAAGAGAAATCCCCAGATGTGGAATTTGATGAATTAATTTGTGTTTGCAAACAAAAAACCGACGACGGCGAAGCATCTGATGGTATCCAGGTTTCCTTTGCCACAGGTAATCTGTTTTGCCTTTAAGATAGACCAGAAGACGTTTCCTGGGTTTTCCTCTGAAACCCAGGCGCTTTTAAGGCAATTCTTTCCCCTACCCTGAAAAAAAATTCTGGGTTTTGCGTGACTTATCCGCGCCTACGCTTCGAAATGCGTATGGTGCGCCGGATGGAAGAAGGACACGCTTCTCGTTCGGCCTCCTCCTGTGTAAATGTAGGCAAGCGAGGCAAGACGCCACCCAGCAGGCCAGGAGCCCTTCAAGAGAGGCAGGCGGGGTGTTAATTTCACTCACACACATACACACGGAGAGACAGTGTGGCCTAGCGGTTAGAGTGGGAGACCCGGGTTCAAATCCTCGCTCGGCCACGAAGCTCACTGGGTGGCCTTGGGGGGGGGGGCAGTGACTCATTCTCAGCCTAGCCTTCCCCAGAGGGTTGTTGTGGGAATTAAATGAGGAGGGGACTGAATGCCGCCACCCCCCCAGCTCTTTGGAGCAAAGGGTAAACTAGGAATGCAGTGAATGAAACTATCAACGATAAAGATATTGTTACAAGCCAACCCAATCTCTGCTGGGCAATGTGCAAGATTCCAGGGACTCTTGACAACGTATCCTTTCCGCTTTCCTCTTATTTTCCTCCGCAATAATTGCCACGGACGAATATCACGGTATCTGAAGAAGTGTGCATGCACACGAAAGCTCATACCCAGAACAAACTTAGTTGGTCTCTAAGGTGCCACTGAACAATTTCTTAATTTTTTTATTTATTCTGCCACGGACGAAGCGTTCTGTGTGACTCCAAACCTTGCGCTCGCCTCCTGCCTCTGGCAAGGAGCGCGTTTGATCTGAGACCAACCCGGGACGAGCCCACCTGGGCGATATTGCGATGTAAAATCAAGGAAATGAAATACAGGACCACGACCATTTAAACTCAAAATCTCTTTCCCACGTGTGTCCCCCCCCCACCTGTGCTTTTTGAGGGAGGGGGAAATGCAACTGGGTGCGATTTTCCTCCAATAGCATTGTGCTTGAAAAGCCGCCGGCGCATTTCACCATTCTGGGGGCGCATTTAAAATGCCATTCCGGTTTGGGAGAATTTGGGCAGGATCTAATAATCGGATGTCAGCCGTGTAAGAGAAGTAAGTTTTCCCCCTAAGTAAATGGGCGTCGGGGTTTGGGCTTAATGTCTCATTGAATTCGATTATGGGAGGAGAGGGTGAAGTACCGGTATATTTAAAAGCCTGCAGTTGAGTTTAATGGACCTGAAAAAGAGCCCTGATGTACCGCCTTAAAGCGACTTTGCGCGATATCGGGATTATTTCATTCCCTCTTCATTTCTGGCGCGAGCAAAACACAATCCGGATTTTGCTTCTGGAGTTACTGGTTGCAGTGATAGTCGGTTTGAAAGGACCGAATGGAGGTTTTGTCAACCTTTTAGCCATTCCAACCCACTCATTCGCTCGACAGTAAAGATAGGAAACGAATCCGCATTTAGCAACAAGTAGGAAATTAATCCGGATTTAGGAACAAACAGCAAAACATTGAGGTCTCTTGTTTTGAAGGAATAAGGCTCCGAAATAAGGGAGGCGGCCCACTCCTCAAAGCGAGACCCTTGCGGTCCGTAAGCATCTTACCTGAGATTTAAATTATATGCGTTTTTACAAGGGAAATACGCCTGAAAATGACTCTGGTTTATAATGATGATGGTTTCTAATTCCTAGTCGATTTCAAAGCAGCTGTGTAAATGACCAAACGGTGCTTGAAATCGACCTCGGGGTGAAAAAAGAGTTTCAGTTGGCGAACCCGGAAAAGGGAACCAACAATTTGGGGGGACAGAGGAGTCACTTTCGTTGCTTCAGTTTAAAACAGAATGACTGGACGACCGTAGGCAGCTCAGATTTAATTCGCGTCGTTGCCAAGTCGGATTATTACAAATGTCGAAGTATAGATGTAAAGCGGACGAGTGTCCAAGAATTCAGGAATGAAAGCAGGGGCGGGCGCGTCAGGCTTGCAACTCTCCAGGCGACATCTGGGGAACTCACTTATTAAGTCCCCGGCTATCAGTAAATGTCTGATCCAACGCGGCTGCCTGCTTTTCCAGCAGTATCACCATTTTATTTCTTATTTATTGCATTTATTTATTGCCTTTATAGCCCGCCTTTCCCCACCAAGGATAATAATATTTTATTATTATGTATAACCCGTCTATCTCTCTCCTCCTTAATTAATCCTCACAACGACCCTGCGAGGGAGGTTAGGCTGAGAGAGGCAATGACTGGCCCCCCGTCACCCGCACCCAGTGAGTTTCATGGCCGGATCGGGACCCTGGAGTCCCGGTTCCTAGTCCGACGCTCTAACCACTAGGCCGCACGTTTTTCCCCGTATCCGGAGCAATAAATGCCATCCAGGGGGAATTCCACCCGCAGCCGCGCCTCAAGACCGAGGAGGCGGCGATGTTCTCCTGGGCGCCTCTGCAGGAGAGCACTGCTCTGGGTTCCTTCCTCCAAGCGCTAGCCTAGGCCTGCCTACTCAGAAGTAAACCTCATTGGGTTCCACGGAGACTTACTCCCCGGGGAAAGCGCGCGTAGGATTGCGGCCAAGCACGTCGCTTGAACGCAGCTGATGACAAAAAAAGGCACCCAGGAAACGGCTAGGAGGCCACCGATATGTTAAATTTAATTTTTAAATTTAATTATTTATTATTTATTATTTTAATGCTTTATTTGTTTATTGTTTAAGACTCTGCCTACTGCGCGGAATGCAACGGGCGGCGGCCGCGCTCTACTCGGAAGTAAGCGCCGTTTATTCCCCACAAAAATTGCAATCGAAACCGAAAGAGAGAGAGGGTCCCGTTTGGGAATGTTCCCTCCATCTCTGCAGCAGGATCCGACCCCTCATTTTCTTCTCGGCCCGGGCAGAGTTAAATAAACACAGTTAACCACCCCACAGCCCTGGTGCCATCGCCACCGGGCAACATAACGGCGCCGCTGCCTATTAATAAATGTTCCAGAGTTTTAAATTTATTTTAAAAAAAATATTCTATTTAAATTTTAACAATCTAAGGACCATCCTATTCTCTTGCATGAGAACTCATCGATCTGCATAAAGTCCGTCTGCGTTAATTCGGACTGAGTTAATTCGGACTACATACAACCCTCTACCCAAATCAGGAGTACGACTCGCCTTTTAAGCAACGGGAGTGAGGGGCGGGAGAAAAGGACTCCTGGCTTTGACATTCTTGAGGCACCCGGATTCCCCAGCCCTGCTGAGCACCTGAACGAATATGGATCGCCTGGTCTTAGATGGAAAACAAAAGCCAGTCAGGTCGAAGAGCAACCCGAATAAAGTTGGTTTAATTTGTCTTTCGTCAGGCGCAGAATTGTAGAGTTGGGTGGGAACCCCGAGGGTCATCTAGTCCAACCCCCTACGATGCAGGAATTTCAGATAAAGCGTCCCTGACAGATGGTCACCCAACCTCTGCTTTAAAACCTCCAAGGAGGGAGAGTCTACTCTGCTACCTCCCAAGGGAAACCGCTCCATGGTCAAATAGCTCTTACTATCAGAAACTTCCCCCTGATGTTTACGTAATTGGAATCTCATTTCTTGTGACTTGAAGCCATAGGTTCGAGTCCTGCCCTCCAGAGCAGGAGAAAACAAGCTTGTTCCATCCTCCATGTGGCAACCCTTCAGATATCTGAAAAAGGCTCTCATATCTCCTCTCAGTCTCCTCTTTTCCAGACTAAACATACCCAGCTCCTTCAACCGTTCCTCATCAGGCTTGGTTTCCAGACCCTGGATCCTCTTGGTTGCCCTCCTCTGCCCACCTTCCAGCTTGTCAACATCCTTCTTAAATTGTGGTGCCCAGAACTGGACACAGGACTCCAGGTTGGGGGTCTGATCAAGGCAGACTAGAATAGGACTATGACTTCCCTTGATCTGGAGACTA